GTCGTCGTTTTGCAGTCACCTCAGGTGAACCAAGAAGTGATTTGAGGGAACGCGTTGAGTTACTCGGTCAGCGGTGCAGGAAGAAGCATCTTTTCCATTAGTTTGTCACTGTTTTCTTGGTGCTTGACATGCTGCTAGCTGTATAATAAAGGGTCTTTCCCCTCCCCCCTTTTTTTTTCCCTTTAACAGCAGTATTAATTGTTATCCTCTATTTTTGCAAAGTTTTAGCTGAAGGGTGCGATTTCCCTGTTCTGTACTTCCTAGAGCTCTGTGACATTTCACTGGCATCCATTAGTGCTACAGCAAGAACATCCTGAGTCCTTGGTTAGTTCTTTGGTGCTCTCTGAAATAGAAATGGCTTACTTGAGAACATAACGAAAAGGCTCAGGTCGTTTCTGCATGTTCTGTGGAGCGGTGGAAAAAGCTGCATGGTGAAAGTACTCCAGCATGCTGCAAGGAGGGAAACAAACTGGATTTTCTTCTGTGTCCTTCGTATGCTCCTTTTCTTTTCAGAGTTCAGTATACCATACCTATAGAAGAAGCTATGCTAGTGCAGGAAGGGTGGTCTTACAAACAAGAAACTGATTTAGGTTTCAGGAGATTTGGGCTCAATTAGTAACTCTGCTTACCAGCTTTATGTGTGAGCTGGGTATAAGTCACTTTGTACTCGTCTGTATCCCAGACTCCCCATTCGTAAAACAAGGCTATGGATTTCAAAACCTCGCCAGGGATAAGATCATATGTCTGCTCGGATCCTCTGTATAGAGGGATGACTGAAGGCTTAATAAGCCCACTTGATATCTGGCTATATATTGCAGGTCAGTCTCTATGTGTATGAATGAATATATAGTTTGATCAAAATTTTATTAGTTTCAAAAAGGATCAAATGTAACATTACCTTTCTTGATTTTCAGGCATGAAATATTTCTTGTGTTCAAAGGACAGGTCAACTTTTCCTAGTTCGTTAGCTATTGTCAGCTTTGACAGGCTTCTGAGGAAAGCAGTCTTTGACAGCACTTTTGCTCTCAGGTGGAAACATGGTTGTGTTCCTGTAGAATGCTTGTTTCTGTTACATTATGTTACTCTTTTCATACTACCAATGATTAAACACAGCTTTTTTCCCCCCTATTGATCAGTTGCTGAAGTAAAAGAAACCTCTATCCTCCCCATGCTAACTGTTGACATGGAAAACAAGGAAAATGGCTCTCTGGATGTCAAAAAGTAAGTGAATCCATAGTGTTCAGTTTATGTAAACAGCACATGGATTTTGATTGCAGTTTTCCTTTGACTTAATGCTGTTGGCAAAGGTAGGCACCTCTTTGCTTATTTCAAACCTTCCCTGTTCTCAATTACTTTCATTGTATTTCAGCTTCAAAATAGAAGAGCCTCGAGCATCAAATTGAAAAAAAGGGACATGTGTGAGGACTGTATAGCAATGGAGGGATGCAGAAGCTAGTAACTTAAGTTAGGAATATACTTTTCTTCATTGATTTCTCCTCTCAACCAGAGACTAAAGCTAGTGGTAGCCCTGTAACCAATACTCTACCTCTGCTCACCTATCTTCTAGGGTGGCCTTTGCAGAACTGGTGCCTGATGGCGAGAAGAGTCCTGTGTGGAAGTCTCTTCTCTGTCTCATTCAGAGAGACATATGCCCTTCTCTGCTGACTTCCCAGCCATCTAGAATTGAGAGGCAGTAGCAGCAGATTCTTTGGTGTCAATTCTCTTCTGGAACAGATAGTTAAAGCTGTTTGCTGGAGAAGCCCTCAACTGCTAGGTTTTTACTTCAAACCAAGGGTGAGAATAAGACAGAGACATGGTGTGCACTGCTCTACATTTTCTTTCATGTTATAGACTGCAGGCTAAGGGATAGGAACTGTTTTGGAGGTATTTCTGTATCCTTAAAGGTCAGCAATTCTTAGATTAGGATTAGCAATTCTGAATAAAGTTACCATCTGAGAAGTGGAGTTCTGCATGGAAAAATTTGGCCTTGCTGCTTTAGGGTTATAGAAGCTGTGCTGAGATTAATATATCTATATTTATATACATATATCTAAAAAAACCCCAAAACAAAACATGAAGAAAGGTACTAGAGAGAGTTCTTAGTCTGTCCTCTCAAACTGCAACACTTCTGCAAAGCTGCACTTCATTCTTCTTCAGATCTCTTTTCCATAAGCCTTCCGATAAAACCTGACAATGTGCAGGGTCCCAGGCACTAGAGAACTATTATTATTATTAATAATAATAATGATCACTTCAGGATGCCGATAAAACACCTGATTACAACACAGCATCAAAAGATCTGATGGGTGCTGGTAAAATCAGCATGCTGCCCCTTCACTTGAAACATTGATTACGCCACACCAACATAAAATGCATTTCTCTCTTCAGTGACTATGAATAGATTATGCTGTGTGTGTTCCTCAGAAGCCACCTTCTGTTGGCAGTCTTGCTTCTACAATGAGAACTCTGTGGTGGGAGGAGAAGGAAGGCAGTCAAAGCAAGGACAGTTTACATTTAATCATTTTCCGCTGAGGCTTAGGTGATAAAGGTTCAACTACTAATTGTGAAGGTGGCTTCTTAAAACTGATGGGGATTGTAATTAAACTGATCAGGAGCTGTGGTTTCTAAATGACTGTATACAGCATGTATGCGTGCATATCTACAAAAGAAGTATTTGGCACTGTCTTGAAGTGGTTATAAATAGCTTGGATAAAATCTGTTTGTTCACAGCTATATCCTCTCAAGCCTTGCTACTTCTGCCACATGATGGCAATAAAGGCACAGGGACAGTGGTGAAAAGCAGACAAGCCTAATCTTTGTTTGTTATCAGTTATGCCAGTCCTCTTAAGATTTTACAGCATCCAGGATGTCTGGCATAAAACGGTGTATGGCTAAGCTGTGGCTGCTATATATTCCCTTTTCTTGTCTAGAGAATAGAGCCATGTGTAACAGCAGGGCAAGGAGGAGACTGTTGAAGTCTAGAAGCCAAATGAGCATCTGTGTAGGTAGATGGGTTAAAATCCAGCCAGCCTCCAACAGCCTGACACATGCCTTTGAGTCTTCTGCAGCTGTAGCTGTGGAAGTTGGCTCCACTTGAGGTCCAGCACAATGTTATTCCATGAGGCAGGAACTTGCAATTATTTCCTGTGATTAGTTAATGACTAAGGTAGGGCCCCTGAAGTCACTGCAGTTGGGCCTGGGATGGGGCTGGACAAAGCTGTAGTTCCCTAGTGGTAAAAGAAGAGCTACACGAAGAACTAATGCACCTGGGCTGAAATGCAAAATTCTGGGAAGGAGGATTTGGGACCATATTTAGTTTGAAATAAAGTGTTTTGGGAAGTAAGCAAAATACATTTAGGAGGTATTTTTACAGACTGAATCTTTTATTTGCTATTTAGAAAGAATTAAATTCAATCTCTTTTATGATTTCCTATGTTTTGTTTTTTTTTTTTCAAATGCTGAATTGTTGAGGTTTTGTTTGTTTATTTTTAATTTTAAGTAGAAGTTGAGTCGTTGAAAGTGACTGTCTTAAGGAAAACTCAAAGATTTAAACACAGTTCTTCAAATGCTGCTTTTTAAAAACGCGTAGGTTTTGTGTGGTGCTTTTCACGTTTTACTTCTTAAGCCTTAGAATGTGCACAACACCAAAGTCTTAATTGAAAGACATTCTTTGATTTACAAAAAAATAAAATAAAATGCATCTCTGATAAAGCCAGATAGTCTCATTTTCAATTTTGCTGAGTGTTGCTGTTCTATGTAATCACAATCAGTGAGGCGATTCATGAAGTTGTTACTTGATGAGCAAAATTAAGAAACTCCTGCCCTTTGGTCGTTGCTCTGAGATATGTGTATATTCCATGTGATAAGTGAAACAAACTGCTTTTAGAAGGCTGAGTGCAACATACGGTGTGATATCGAGGTTGCAGCGTGAGTCCCTAGGGCCAGAATTTTGTTGCAATATTGACAGGTACGTTCCAAGAATTAGAGGAGAAGCAAAAATGATTATGTTCACGAGTCTTCCTTCCTAGGGCTCAGCTAGCTGTAGAAATTGGGATGATGTAGAAACAGTGATGGGAGGCACTATATGTGATGCTGTTAGTTTCTCTTCAAGTTGGAAAAATGGTTGGCCCCTGATTCACTCGGTTATTTTGCTGAAAGATGTACAAATCTAGGCAAGACAGAGGTGGTGACGGTTGGAAAAGAAAAGTTTGAAGGACAGAGCAAAACTGCTGTCAGGACAGTATAATCTGTGTTTCTTTTCTGCCTGGTGCTGTTGAAAAGCAAAGTCTTGCCTCTAAGCTTTGGGACCTGAAACAGACAGGATTCTGACATCTGCCCTGATCTGTACATTTTTTATATTTCTTTGTTAGCGTCATGGTTCTGCATACAGAACAGTGGAAAATGTCTGGAATGAACTTTGAGACTTCTAGTTGGAGAAACATGTTAAAGTAGTTCTTTCTTTTGATGTCTTGCTCTTTGTCCTCCTGAATTGCTATAGGAAAGGCAATCAAGGTCACTGTGTGTCTTTTTTACCAAGAACTTGCAGATACACAAAGGTTATCTGAGATAGGGTGAAGGCAGGTTGAGGATAAAAAGTGCAGGAGAAGGATAGTAATATGAATGATTGGTTGTTTTTGCTACTGTGGAAAGCAATTGCCTGAGGTCAATCACAGAAGGAATTCATTCTGTTTCAGTTTAATACATGTTTTCTCAGGTTCATAGCTATTTTAATAGTCCATAGATTTGTCCAAAGATGAGTCCATAAACAATTTTGGTAAATTTTCTATATCAAGCAATTAGTACAATCATTGGTGCCTCTTTTTTTTTTTTTTTCCCTACCCTTTGTTTTACAAGGTAGAGATGATTTCCAGTAGTTTCTATGCATGTTACAAGGAAGCACCGTCTCATATGGGAAAAGAATAATCCACATACTGCAGTTCTTTATAAGTACTAGGTAGCTGAAAACAAGCTGCAGTCTTGAAAGACAGGGATTTGGTACCTCAGTCGTGGTAGTCTTTGTTCTCCAACTGCAGAGGCAGCACACTTGCAGGAAAAGATCCTGACTGGTTACCTTTGGCTGATGTGAAGATTCATATCCTTTCTTCTTTTCTGAAGGGAGAGGGGCCTCGGTTGTCCCTAGCATCAGGTCTTTGAAACTGAAGAGAAACAGGAGTGACTGTTCTTCTGTATCAGGGTGGGGAGTGTGTGTTGAAGGATACTTTTCCTGGAGGAACAAGGGAAGAGGGGATGTACATGGGGTATGCACAAAGAAGCAGCAGATCCTCTGCACATATTTAGTGTTTACTTGTCTGGATTTGTTCTTTTCAGTTCAGTAGAGAACGGAAGACCTCCGGATCCTGCTGACTGGGCCGTTATTGATGTTGTGAATTATTTCAGAACAGCTGGATTTGAAGAACAAGCCAATGCTTTTCAAGAACAGGTAAATCTTTTAGGAAACACTTTTTGACTGCCACCAGTTTCTCACATTGCACGTTTTTGCCATGGACCTAGTTATGTACTGTTAAATGGGAGTGAAAATCCCACATTAATGGGGGCATTTGAGTCTGTTATTGGGTAAAAATCCATGGGACTACGATCTTTGAGTAATAATATTGTTCTACAAGGTGTGGATGATGTCTTAAAGTTTGTTTAAAACAGTCATGTGAAAGGTGAGGAATCTAAACAAATTTTCAGGCTTGGACTTAGTCTTCCTGTACAACCCACTCAGTTTCACTATCTTGTCATTTAAAATGTGAATGGTGATTCTCTTCTTCCTTAATGTATTGTGCAAATACACTTAGGAGTATTTATAAAATCTGGGGCTCCTAAGAAGCAAGTCGCTTTTGAAAACTTAGGGTGAAAAAAGGGCTGCTGTGTTGCACTGAATTTGGCAGTGCAAGTGAACAGGGAAAGGACAAGTTGGCAATAAAGGAGAAGAGTCTTTTTAGGCATGGGAGCAGCATGTTTGTAGGACTCAGTCTGAGAAAGAGGTTGGGTCTTAATTTCTGTGCCTTGTAAGTGCTGATGCTCATGGATGGCTTCTTTTGGTAGTTTTGATTAGCAAAGAGCTTAACAGTCATATGGCCTCTTGTAAGTCGCCTGTCAGCACAGTGGTGGGGTGTATCAGTGGGGCAGAGTAGGGAAGCTGGCTTACTTGGCCTACAGCCCAGCCGTTCCATAGAGAAGGAATTTACATCTCCGTATTGTCAGTTCAGCACCTTCCCTGATAAGTCTATAGGTTTGCTTGTGACTACCAGGAAATTAGTTACCAACACTCGTATTTAGTTATCAAAATAGATGGCTTGACCTTCCAAGGCACTGAGCTAGTGCAAGTCATTGGCAGCTTTGCAGGGAAACTGTACCTCTAACGTGAAATAATGTTACTGTTGGTCAGGTTGATCTTGCTGACCTTCTTGCGGACCTTCAGCACCTGGACAGTGAAATCCCATCTGATTGTAATTGATGAGTGTGACAGAGTATCTAAATTTAGCACTTTTAATTCTCAGGGGTGAAAAGCCAGGTGTTAGGTAACTCTCTGACAGGGTGCAGAGAGAGGCTCTTTCTGCAGCTGCTACTAATTTTTCAGAATTTGAAGATGGATAACCAGGCAAAAACATTGTTTCAGTGTATACATTCCTTAATACCAGCATCCATGTCTCCTCAACAGCCCTGGAATCGTGGCTTAAAAAAACCACACAGGCAAAGTAATTGCGGCCTCTGGCGTTTTTTTCCTTGTACTGACAGATACCTCTGACTTTCATCAAATATCTTAACCTCTCTGCACCTCAGCTGGCTTGTCAATAATACTGAAGTAATTACTACTGATCTTGCAGCAGCAAGGTGAGGCTAACTCATGAGTTTTGAGAAAGCAATTTGCAACAGCCTGATGGAAAGCAATATAGAAGTAGATTGTAAAGGTTTTATTAGTATCCTGCAGTGAGGGCAAGTGGCTTCAGGAGGATAGCTGAAGTAAGCTGCTTTTTAGCAATGGGTTGCCAGGGCTCTGCTAGGGTAGCCATGGGCAGAAATGTGGCTGTGATTCCACTGCCAACTTCACTTTATGCCAAAGCCTTGGAGAGAGAGAGAAGCTGACAGCTGCAACCAGGATGTGGCCAGCAGATGTGGGATGGACAATCACAGCAGAAGTCATTGCTACTCCCTTCCCCCTCCATTCCCTCAGCAGCACGAGGAGCAGCAAGTGCCTGGTGCTCCATGCCAGCTCTGCCAGCCCATTCCCTTTTTCCACTAGGAACAGCCCCAGGAGCAATCCTGTCGCTAACATCTTACCGGTGGTGGTGTTCTGTTTCCTATACACTGTTTCCCAGCTGCTAAGTTTAACTCTGTGTATTTATGGTATTTGTTATGAGGATCTCCCAGGCCTTCCAGGTGTGGTAGTGCAGTCAGGTTCACTTTGAACCTGTAGCCATGCTCTGTCTATAGAGTCACCAGGCATGCAGCTGAAGCTCTGGCCATCTCTGTTTTTCTCTGTCATTTGTACTGCAGCTTGCCTGGGCCCCAGAAACCTAAATTTGTTTGATCTGCTGCTGCACTGGATATGTACTGGAAGGAGAATGAGGTTGTAAATGGTATAGGAAAGTACTCTGTTTCACCTACAGCACTGGGAAGTTGTTTTCCACTGAACTGCTTCAGTAGGGGTAGCACAATGGTTTCCTTACAAAACATCCATAGCCCAGAATGTAGTCATGAGATCTATTATTACATTCAGCTCTTACACAACAGTAACTGAGTCCGCACTTTCTTTTGATGAATTTGAATACATCTGGACTCGCCCAAAGCAAGTAACTCAAAGAATTTTTAAAACCTGGATTTTTCTTACAGCATTTAAAGGAAAATGTGAAGATGTTTTAATGACCATAGAATGTTTTATTAAAACTATATTTTAAGTGCTGCTAAAGAAGTGACGATTGTATGATAATCATACTTTATTCCTTCTTGGAGTTCCACTGATGTCAGCAAGTCAAAAGAGGTCACTGATGAAAACATTCAACTGAAAGGTACTGCCCAATAACAAAAACCCATAACATCAGCAAGCAAATCAGACAAGCCAAGAAGCTGGGAAGAGAGGATGACTAAAGAGAGAGGCAGACCAGGTGCAGGGTGAGGTTGTGAACACCTTCAGAGAACCACTGCCTGCCAGTACATGGCTGAGTTTTCTCTAGGAGCCCTGGAAGCACAGGTTGCTGTGGCTCACTCCGTGACCGAAGCTGTTTGCCATGTCTCCAGACATGCTGGTGCAATGCCTGACCTTCATTATTGCTTATGTGGCTTCTTAACTGTTAGTATTGCAATAGCCAGATAAGCCCAAGTAACCTAGTGGTACTTTGCTGGCCTCACTGCAATGCCTTACCAGAAGGGAAACAGGTTTGATGCCAGCTTGTGTCCACTGCTGCTTTCTAGCAGAGCCATGGCATGGAGGACCGTGTGGGCATGCTGGCTGTCATGCTTTCCTGTTAGCTCTACTTTTGCAGTTTACTACCTTGCAGTTCTTTGTCACTTGGAGAAAGAGCAGAAGGAGTGCTGGGAGGACTTGAAGCTTAACTGGTCCTCTGGTTATTTGCTGAAGACAATATGGTATTGCTGCTGAGGTCATCCTGGCACAGTGTGGAATTACTGTTAGCTCTAGTTGTGCAGAGGAATGCCTCTGCAGATGATATTAAAACAGCATACCAAAAGCTGGCGCATTGAAGTTGTGTCCTGAAAAAATCCAGAAAATGGAGAAGTACCAGAGAAGAAATTCAGAGAAGTCACCAAAGCATACAAAATCTTACCTGATGCCAGAAAATGGAATGGAATCCACAGAAGCAGATTTAAGCGGAAAACTAAAAAGAATTGGAAAAGGTAAAGCTTACAACAGACACAAAGATATAAACCACTTGAATTCCGAATACATAATCACTTATTTCTACTCAGATGTGTTTAAAGAATCAGTTTTCTATTCAGTGAAAGTCTTAGTAATTATCAACATTTCTGGAATCCATGGGAAACCCTGTGGAAGAAGAAGGGAAAGGAATAGATGCTCTTTTCCTATTCTTGGGAGTTTCTCCTTTTCCGGGTACTGGATTTACTTAATTTGAATCCTACCAAGCTGGAGGCTGTTCTTTCTCCATAGCATCGTTGAGCAGCAGCAGAGAAGGCAACTTCAGATTGGTCATAGCAATAAGCAAAATACTCACTGGTGTCAAAATTCCCACAGAAAGAATTGTGATGAATGGAAAAGAGAGAATAGAAACTGGTGTTAACAATTAACATTCTCAACAGTAACTGGAAAGAAGCATCTGCTATAATTGGGTAAAAAGTTATTGGAAACTTTTTTTCTTCTAGAAATACTGTTACATTGTGATCTTCTGAGGGATTACCAGTTTTATCTCTTGGGCAGATTTTAAAGAAATTCCACTTTTAGCTGATCTTTGTCTGTGTTGTGGTTTGTTCATCTATTTTGCATTTATAAACTTTATCAAATCATAAGAGAGATCAGTCTGGACAAATTCGTGCTGAACTCTTTTCATGTTGAGTTGTAACCAAGGATGAGATCTCTGACATTTCAAAGACATTTAATATTTGTAAGGAAGATACTGCAGTGGGATAAATTGATGTGTGATGTTTATAATATTTATAAAAATACAAAATTTTAGCGGTATATGGACAACAACAGTATATGCAAGCATTTGAACTGGTTGTCTGCTATTGATAAACAATTCAACATTTAACAGTGTTTTTTTTTATTAAAAGTAAAAACGAGCGCAACAGCAGAGTGAAGTCCAGTGCAGGAGAATGCCATAAGGCTGTATGACAACCATGGGAGGTCTTGCTGTGTTGTGAGACACCAATCAATGCATTGTTGAGTAGGTGTAGCTCCTGTTTCCTGAACTGTAGGAATGTGTAAAGAAAAGGATGGTCCCATGTCTAAACTGGAGATGGGAGTTGAGAGATGTGGATTCTTTCTCTTCCATTGTGACCTTTAAAGAAATCATTTACAGGTAGTTTTCAAACATACAAGGTTTTGAGGTGGAAAAAAACCCAAAGCCTACAGGATTTCTAATCTAAATAGGTGAGAAAGCCAAGGTTTGAGAGAAAAAAACCTCAACATATCTGTGATGTCAAAGTGGGAATTTTAAGCAGGAACAAGTAGAGGTTGTTGAGACCTAAGATGAGGAGTTGCTGCTTTTAGCCTCTTCCATTGTAAGTGGAGAAAGAGAAGTTCCCTGAGTGTTGAGCTCCACAGTTAGACCCTTCTAAAGTTTCTAATTGTAGGAGTCTTGGGGTTTTTTTCCCCCACAGGAAGCATGGGAAGGTTGGCCTTTTAAAGAAGGCAGCTGAAGTTATTAGCAGATACTGACTAGTCCAAACTTGCATATTGCTGTCAACAGTAATTCTTCTGAACTGCACTTCATAAGCTTTCTTCTTAAGAGTATCTTTCCCTTAATGGCTGATGATTAGGCAATCTGCACATGTACCTATTAATTTGAAACAGGTTTACAAGGAGGGAATTTTGAAACTGGCTCATTTGGGTATGGTGCTTGACTTAATAATACTTATGCCTTAGTCAGCACAGGTGAGCATTTGAAAAGCAGACAGCAGAATTTAGCAGCTATAAACATAGTTTCAGGAAAATAAAGGCTACTATTTATTTTCTCATTGATCCTCTGTAGTCTTCCATTTGTTGCATGACTGTTGTCATCTGTTAGATTGGTACATTTGTCTTTATCAACTCTTTAATTCTTCTTATAGGAAATTGATGGCAAATCATTACTGTTGATGACAAGAAATGATGTACTGACTGGACTTTCATTAAAACTGGGGCCTGCGCTGAAAATCTATGAATATCACGTAAAACCTCTACAGACACAACATCTAAAGAACAACTCTCTATAGCGAATTGTCTAATTGGGGTCATGTTGTGCCTCAAACAATAAATAAGCAATTTGGTTTCAAGTGATGGAACTTTGTAAAGAGAGAATGTATCTATAAGAATTTAAACCAAATTACAATATATATCCTATTGGATAGAGTTGGCAATATACTATATACTGAGTCTGAACTGAGAGAGGTGGTGTGTATTTTTTACATAGTACATAATGATTTTCTCTTTTAGGAATTGTCAATGAGCATGTTGAGATAGCTACATCACTGTATCCAGAACAAAAGGGAGGTACGTCGTTCTCATTTTTGAGCCGGACATGTTCTTGATTTCATGAATTAAAATACCAAGAAAAAAACCAACCCAAATAAAGTTTACGTGCGTCTTTGGGAGAGAGAAACCAATTAAAGTAGGTTTCAATTTACATTGAAGACCTACTAAAATTATTACTACTTACAATTTTAGGATGGGACTGACACTTGCCAACTCACCCTTTTTTGCAGAGGGTCCTATTTTGACCTTATTAAGGTTTACTCGTGGTATGTTGCAATGTTTAAAGCTGTACATACAACTAACATAACCCCTTCGATAACAGAAGGTGTTGCTGACAGGTGAAACTGGGTTGTGTATTTTTTGCTGTCCTTCAAATTTTCTGCTTGTTTCACCTGTTTTTAAGAGTAGTTCTATGTAAAGTATAGTTGGGTTTTTAAAGTTTGTGTTGCTTTGCAAAACAAAAAAAGCTTCATTTCATTTTATTCCTTTTTTAATTTATGATAACTTGTTTTCTAACATTATGCAGAAATCTGTAAAAAGAGTAAAATTCTGCACATTTTTAATATTGTCTGTCATTGGTGTTGTAATGGTTGATTTTTTTTTTTTTAATGCTTTACTTAACGGTTTGAATACTTGTTTTAAAAACTGAAAGAAGCTGTCTCGTCACCATACATCTCTGTTAAAAGAGAGTCTTGTTCAATCTGTTTGTACCAGTTCCCTATTTGATAGATTGCTTGCTATATCCCAATAAAGCATTGCTTACGTTTGGATTCAGTTTACAGATCTTTTACTTTCTCATGTTTCTTTGTTGTGAAATATTGGAGCTCCTGTTTTTCTCCATTTTCCCATTAAAAACGTACCAAAACCTATTGAATATTCTATGCTTTTGTGATTACCATTATCACCACCTACCGAGATACCTAAAGATTTCGTTATTTTTACTTTTTCTTATCTAGTGTTATGTACTGCTGAAGGAGAAGCCCTGGTCACAGTTCACCAGTAACACCTGTGCTTCTCTTACCCCTTTCTAGAGCTGTCAGTGGTGCAGAGGCACTGTGCTGGGCCTGGTACCACGGGGTGGTTTACCCTAGAATGCCTGGGAGGCAGCCCACTGATGGTGCTAAGCACTGTCTGGGCTCACCGTCTTCTCTGGCTCGGAGAGCTTTGTGATGACCCCTGAAACCAGGATGTGGGATTGCATCGGTGAGGCTGAGAAGGAACCAGGAAATAAGCAGGACAACGTGGTGAAAGCGGAAATTGTATGGAAGGAAAAGATGAGGGGGTGCAGCTGAGAAGGGAAGAAGGTAAGAGAGTGGTGCCTTCTGCCAAGTGGGGATAGGATTCAGGGAGAGGAAGGAGAAGCTCCTGTAATCTCCTGACTAGGTCGTGGCTCTGCCTTCACTTCTGACTTTGCCAGGTGCGAGGTGGCCGTTGATGCTCCAGTGCTAGAAAAGTTGCTTTTGGTTTCTGATGTTGAGATTTGCGAAGGGATAGAGACATGTTTATACCTGTGCTGTAGGTGAAGCTCGTGATATGTAGTATAATACATAAACTATGTACAGCAGCATGCTTTCTTGTATACTCTCTAACCTTTACATTGTACAGCATATTTATTTGGAATTTGAGACACATGATAGGAGATGGGGATGTATTCACCATGTCTCTTTCTGCCCCTTCTTACTGTGCTTGCTTCAGGTATCACTCTGTTAGCAGCAGGTTTGTAAGTCACAGTCTAAATTCTGCTTATGATTTTATTTATAGTTGGGCAGTGTTCAGAGATCCCTACTGGGAGTAGAGATCATCTGGAAGACTAGATTCAAATAGAAAGCATCGTCCTTGCCTTGAGAAGCTTTCAGGTACAGTCTGTATCAAGCTAATTACAGGCTGCAATCAAAAAATTATACATGAAACTTTTAAATATTTTAATATAGAATTAGGTATATTTATGAAAAGGATATTATGTGAAGCAACTGCGTGTAGCAGTCTGGAGATGCCTACAGCCCTGTATTTGTAGGATTATTGTTGGAGGAGAGTACGTAGTGCTATGTTACTGAAGGATCAATTGAATATCTCTTTTTCTCCATTTGCATGTTTGGTGTGGGATTGGCACATTTTGTAGATCTATGGATGACACAGAATTAAAAGTAAAACATATTTATTCCATGAGGGAGTAAAAATCTTTACTCTGCAGCCGTGAGAGCGCATTTGGTGATTGCTGAGCACTGTTCTTTTTTTTAAAAAATATGTTTTAATGAGCAAATTAATTGCATTCAGAAACATCCAGATTGTGTTCCCTTTTGATTAACACTGCTAACTGGTTCATACAAGTAGAGGGCTCACAGAAAGCTTGCTGCAAGTGAAAGCGAATTTGAAGGATGTTGCTCAGAACTGTTAAATTTTTTTGCTGTCCCTGATCTTTGTTGTAGCTTCCTACTGTTCTCTGAGCTTTCTAATGCTGCTGTTCTTTGTGCAGGTGACCGTTCTGGTTTTGTCTGTTACATTCTCTTTGCTGTTTCTGGGAGAACAAAAAATCTTTTAAAAAGAGACTGGAGGGTTTGAAAGAGGAAGTCAAAGCCAGATTATTTTTAGCTACCATTCCTCTTGCAGAAAACACAGCTGCTGTTGAGATGAGGAAGCGACTGATGGGCATCACTAGATAGCATGTCAATACCGCAGTTCTGAGTCGCACAGCTATGCAGGATCCCAGTTTATAACATGCCCTTAATGTGCCGGCAGCAAGGAGAGTCCCTCGTCCATAAAAGCCCTCCCTGTGCTTTGGGTGGTGGCTAAGCTGCCAGGTGTCTGACTGCTAAGCTGATACTGGGTCTCAGTGCTGCAGGTCTCTGCTTTCGAACTGAAACCAGCCATTTTGAGAGTGGCTGCCTTCTCCTAGAGCCAGCTTTAAGGAGGAAAGCAACAGTCATCTCCCCTGACCTGCTGCCAGTCAGCACAAGAACAGAGAGACTTGCTGCAGCCAGGGCCCTCCTCTTCCCTGTCCCTCCTCTTCCCTGTCCCTCCTCTTCCCTGTCCCTCCTCTTCCCCTTTTTGTAATACCACTAGTACCCTTCTATCAGAATCTGTCATAGCACTTTTAAAAATAATTTGAAAGCAATACAGTATGCCTTTTTTGGTCTGGTAGTTGTGAAATACATATTAGTGTTGTTCATCAGCTCTGATGTTTGCTCTCCTCTCAAGCTGTAGACACTCAATGCAGAGCATGTTCTTTTTGCATTCAAATGTAGCACCAAGTACCACACACAAAGCACATGGAAGGCAACTGTTGGCAAAGTATGGAGGCTGTGTCTGTGCCTGTCCACCAAGGTCACTTTCTCAATCCAGAGAAAATTGTTCTGTCTGCTTGCTGATATCTCTCATCCCTGTGTGTTTTTGTTCCCTTTAAAAGTTTGCTCTAATGTGCTGTACTTTACCTATTTGTAGAAAATGCTTTACTCTTATAATTATAGGACAAGACTTGGCAGCTGTAGTGAAGGGAGTAGCCACCCATGTGTCACTCATGGTTAGAAATGGCCCAGGCAAAATGTCACATAAGCCCTCACTGTCAGTGATTATTTGCTGTATGAACTCATCTCTCTTTTCACTGCTTCTTTCAAGATGTTCAAGTTCTACCAAGTCCTTTACCTCTTCATCTCTTTGAAAATCAGCATTTAATTGGTCTGTTATCTTCAACACTCCTCTTTCCACTGTCACATTTCAGTTACAATCACAGTTATTTGGAAAGCAGACGGTCTTACTTTCTGTGAGTCTGGGGGAAGCTCAATTTTATTTCTCAGTTCTTTTTAATGGCAATATTTAAATTTAGAATTTAAATAAAATTCTAAAATTTGAAAGCTGAGTCTGAACAAGATCAGAAAAACATCATCTCACTTTCATTCTGGTTTTTTACTTCCAAGTCAGAACAGCAGTTCCTTCCCTTCCAGGAATGGAGTTTGGCCCAAAAGTCATGTGGGTTGACTGTAAACATGCATGTGAACAGCACAACCATCACTACCTCAGTAAGATGAATGGAGTGGTATAGAGAAGGGTCTTCTCTACTCTTGACTTTACCTCAGGAACAGCTTACAGAGGCAATGGATTGGCTTCTGCTTCATCTAACAGAGAACAAGGACTGGGTGCTTGGGGATGTCAGCCGGGAGAGCCCATCTGTGTCCTGTTGCATCGCACTGAAGGCCTCCACTCACCTTCACCTCTGTGTTGCTCAGTTTTGGTAGCAGCTTTCCCTGGGGAAGGTGCAGAAGGCAGTGGCTGTCATTAGCCCACTGGTAGCCTGCAAGGGCAGTCCCCATTGGAGTAATGGGTGGACTGATTCAGTAAACAGCTTTCATTCCTGTTGGGAAAGGGTGTGTCTTTGTAATATGCTAATGTAACAAGATCATGAAGTTCTTTTTTGCTTAGCCCCTGTAATTAAGGAATTGTTTGATGTCGTGATGTTCCTTTGGATCCCAGGTGTGTATTCAGCTTACTCCCAGAATAATATTAGCTGGTAGGCTCTGTAAATTTGAGGAGTACAGCTGTAACCTCAAGCACCTGGAGAACCCAAGGGGAGCACCATGAAGACTGGAAGTGGCTCTTGATCTCCATGTGAGAGTTTCACTGCTGCTGGTGAGTACTGGAGATAACTTGTATTTATACGCTGCACTCGTGAGCATCTTTGTTAAAGGAACAGTGAGCGGTTATAACTGCTGTATCATCAGCTGATCTGCTGATAAGGCAACAACAAATGTCTTGCCTTTGGCAGGCTTGCACTCATTTCAAGATGTTCTCTTCCCCTTTCCAGATGATGGCTATAATCCAGCTGCCCCTCTATAAACACTCTGCAGTACCTGCCATGTTGAAGACGCCCCTGACTTTGTAGCAGCTAAATCGTATGAAAAAAAAGGGAGAGGGGGCTTGTCAGTTTCACCGATCTCAGATTCAAGAGTAATATTGCTTTGTCTTGTACTGGGGGATTGCAGCAGGAGGAAGGAAGTAAAGGACACGTAGCTGAGTTTGTGTCCCAGCTGGTGGCCAAACTGTAGGGAGAAGTGTAGAAGTGGGTGTGTGCCTGGGTGTAGCAACCTTTTTTTGCAAGGATACTCTTCTGCTACTCTCTCTTCCCTCTGTATAAATACCACGTGCCAGTTTGCCTGGGCCTTTGCTGGAAATTTGTGTAATCTAGAAGATTTTGAAACATTGCAGGAGTACAAGGCCGTTAAAACTTGATCTTTTTTCAAGTCGGATGAAGATGTTAATGTGGTTAATCATGCTTCACACCACTCTTGAGAGGTGGCAGAAACCTCCCTCAGTACTCAGGCACTCTAATTTGTTATGTTTCCCTCTGCACCAAAGGTTTCTGTGATTCCTTCTTTTTCTAGTTCTGAGCCCTTCCAATGTTGTTTGTTTTGGGTTTGTGTTTTCAGCTCTGAAGTAGCCAGATAGAAGAGATACGTCTTCATTGATTTTTTTTTTTATTTTCTCTTCTCTCTCTTCTTTGACTGTCTGATAATTTTTACTGTCACTGTATTTCCCCCTCCTTTTCTTCTCCCCATCTTTTCTTTGTGTCTTCTAGTCTCGCCTCTGTTACCTTGTGTTCCCATTCCAAGCTGGCCCCTCTGTGCATCTCCATTCTTCAGGACTTGGGCAACAAATGCCTGTCCCCACAGGCAAGGATTTACTTGCAGCAATACCTGACCTGCTACAGTCAGCTAACGGCGGGACTGAATTATTACCTTTGTTTCTACCCCTCAGATGTGTGAAGTACTACTCCAGCTCTCTC